TCAAGATGCTTGGTCAATGAATAACAATGTAATTCATATTCAGACCTTCAATAAAATTACACCTGTAATAAGTAGGCATCATCAGTAACCTCACAGATCTTCCTTCTTTCCTTTCACTTTGAATTCTATATTAATTACAAGCGAAGTAACAATAAAATTAGGGACAGCGATCAACAATCAACGATTGTTGTACGTCATTAAATTTAAGTGAAGTTTATCATGGCGGCTCTCAATTGATCAAATTGTTTTCTACAACTTGGCTCATCCTCATTAGGATGTTGTATAACGTCGCTGATATCTATTATGCAAGTTGGATACTCTTGCAATTTTTTTTCAAATTTCAAATGACCAATTGAATATAAATAAGGACGATATCACACTAACATACTTTGCCCACCTGCGAAGAAAGTTTCACGTGTCTGTAATAACAATACCGAAATTATGCAATTGTTGGGATCTTTTTGACTTGAAAAATATAACACTGCCACAATTGTCAAATGGCTGTAGAAACCAGTTGAGGTCTTTGTTACAATATTGATCAATCCGACCTTGAATCAGTTGTAAAATTATTAATACTGAAATGCAATTCAAATCAAAAGACAAGTTTAATCAAACTATACAATTTTATATCAATAGTCGATAGATAATTTGTTAATTCATTTCCCACGGTAATTAAATTTGGTAACCAATGGATGCCAATTTTTTTTTATCCCTTGGCGCACTTTAATGCAAATATGCAATTTTGGATAATGGCATAATTAGAGGAAATGGTGGGATGGTGTGACACGTGCCGACCTTTCGCCTAAGAAGAATTTGTTTTTGAGTCTTGCAAACAAAATCCTCTAATCATTAAATTTAATCTCAGATTAGCATAAGTGTTTTCAAATGTGTGAATAATCACAGTAAGTTTATGTCCAATAAATCTGTTTCGTGCTTGGAATAATAACTATGTTGTCAAAATGGTAGATTTGTCACCAAATAAATTTTATTACGATGAATGGTTTATTCAATTGTTGTCACCAACGTAGTTTAGTTATAAAAATCGAATAAATTGGTGACCGGTTAAATCACACCCTTTAATTATTTTAATAGTGGTGTGGCGTAAAGATTCACACGAACGCCGACCTTTGTATGTATTTAACCCAAAATTAAAACTAGAACGCGTGTAATTGATACTGAAACTTCAGCAAACAAGAATATGTCTTGGACTAATATTTAATTACTCTGAGGAAGAAGCGACTAGAAAAAGAACAACTTTGTAAACGACTTTAGCGCCTTTGTAGAGGATATAAATCTTCATTTATGCGAATTAATTTTGTCGTATTTACCAACTCATTATTGTTAATTAAATTTATAAATGGTGGTTTAGGCAAAAAAGTAAAAGTTTCGAATTTTTATAGGCAAAAAGTTGAGAAACTAATAACCACACTAACTAACCCAGATCGGCAACAAACGTGCAAAATATAATTTTCCCTCATATATTTGAAATAATTAGATATATGGAGTATGGCATGACTTTTCGAAATTACGTCTGCGTGACCATAATGACGACTTTTGATTAAAATTTTTTCAAATAAGTCAAACTGCAGTGAACTTCTTCCGGTTTATTTCAACCACAAGAGAATATTAATATTTAAAATACACGCCAACTAAAAGCGCCTCTATGAGAATGATGATGAAAGCGACAGATTGCGCAAACAAATCTCCAACAATGAGAGTAGCTTTTAACTTGAAAATTACTTTCGAAGCTAATCAAGTCTGGTGCTAAAATGTGAATACATAACACTGGTCACGCATTAATGTCCATTGTTAGCCGCCCGATGCGATTGACCGAATTCAATACGGGGTATTGAAAAAAGAACACTTGTATGCACGAGTTGCCTTATTACACAAATCTTCGCAAGGGCGCAACGCTTGGGAAACCTGCTTCTAGACCAAAATTTTGGGAAAGTGTTCGGCGGGTAAATAATCGGTCATGTGTGTGTTATTTGCTTTCTCTAACATCAAACTTGTGATTTGAAAAATCACATTACAAAAGTACCATCTTTAATATAAATTCACTTGAAATGTTTGCCATAATTCGGAATCTGCATTATCTGAAAAACTTTCATCTTAATTGAGTTGTCCGTGTTACTTTTCTCATACTACTTACTTTAAACGCGCCATTTAAATATAAATTTACTTAATTACCGTATTGTTTCGAACGTATTTCCATAATAAACCGATTAACAATACTCGCTTGGTTCCCCAGCTGCATTTTCTTTACTATTTTACCAAAAAGTCATTAGCTTTCTACAATACGGAAGTTGTTCGCCAATTGTGTAACATAAACAACAATTTTTAACACCGGACTGACAAAGAAGTCTCAGGACCGGTTATAGATTTCTAGCACAATAAACAAACTGTATAAACTAAATTACATAAGATCAAAGAACAACATTTACTTGTGTTCAGTACTAGAATTTCGGACGAAAAAGTAAGACTAATTAACAAACTCAATATGAAAAAGCTTCCTTTTCAAAAGTCTCAAATAAATATAAAGACTGATACTTTCGAAGTAGCAAAGAGACAAGGCTTCACTCTTTCTATATATACAGAAAAAAATCTTTACGGGCTCAGACCATTCATCACGCAAAGTTCTAGTTTTTCTCTGTCGATACCCTAAAATTAAATTCATTAAGTAATTGAGCACGATTTAACCTCCTCTAATAGGTACTTGTTAGGAAATCAACATCGAAAAACACTGCAACACGAAATTTTACTAATTAAATTAATTAGGAACGGACGTTAATTTCATCGATGACAAGCACAAGAAAAAATTATTTATCAGTGAAATAACACTGATATTTTATTGCTACTAATGCCATTAATCATCAAATTTTTTAGAATCATAACTGATGAGGCCATTTGAGTGATTTACAACAGATTTGACATATCCGCAAATATTTATATGTATTATGGCATTCCTTAGGATTGAGAAATAAAATGTAATAACAAGAATCACAACAACGCTACCGGAATTTGGTAATTATTACCAAATTATTTATTAAAGGAAGTGAAACCAAAACTGGTCTCAGTTGTAAGAAGCAAAGGAGCCGAAATATTATGTTTAGGTTTGGCACTCAATACCTGTTATCAAAAGATATTTAAATTTTAGATATTTATTATATTCATGTTAGAGCAAAATCTGTTTTTGAATAGGTGCATGTCATGTCGCTCGAAGCTTCAATGCATTTTTCTAGAAATGCAATATTGCATGAAATTCTATCAAAACAAGAATACAATACGAACCAACATAATATGTGAGATTTTTACAGTTTTCTCTAAAAATCAACAACCTTGACTTATTATAACATTTGATGTATTAAAATTTGAATTTTAATTCCAGCTTTAAGACTTGATAACGAGCTGGGGAAAATGGTTCAGGTTAATTAAAAAATTCAACCTTTAAATTACTGCGATTTTTGTTTGATGTAAGTACAACATCGGGCAAAGTTGGGATTGATTTCAAAAGTGTGATCTTACACTTTCAAAATACGTGAAGCTTATTTTTGAAAGCCAGTCACTGACACTGAATAATTAAATTTCCCAATAGTTTTTTTACATAAAACTAATATTTTGGTATAAAAGAATTTGTGTCGCGGTTTAAAGATTGAGATTTCTCTCACCTCACTGACCTTACAATATAAACAATTAATGAAACAACCTGTTCCAGTTTTAATAAAAATATACAATCACGTTGTCGCACATGTTTTAAAACTTATTGTTATATAATAGTCGTAAATATAATTAAAAACTTGAATGTATTTATAATCTTGATTAATTTGAGTAACATTTTTGTTATATAATAAATTATAAATCCTTTTATCTTGAGAAAACTGGCCAAGGGGAAAACCGGTCAAAGCTTATTGACTGATACAAAATTAAAAAAAAGAGCGCTAAATACAATGACACAATTTAAATGAGTAACATTTTTGTTACACATATAATAAATTTCAAAGCCATTTGTCATGTGTTTACTGCCAAAATCACAAAAGTGAAATTTTGAGTCAGTAGGGTGAGCAGGTGACAATTCGCCCACGGGGACAATTGGTCAAAGCCTGCTGAGTGATAACGAAAATTAAAAAAAGAGCGCTCGAATTAAAATTCACTTTTAATTGCTGTTTATCAGCAAACAATTACCTATCTATGTCTACCAATACAATAAACGTGTGTAAAAAATCTAAACAAATAGTTCCGAGAATTAGGCAGTAAATAGAAGCCGACTAACCTCATTGTATTTGGGATGCACATGATTACAAATTTTATGTCCATACACGAAATTATCCAAAGAACTGAATGAAATTGTCACTAGAATAACACAAAAAACGTCCTTCCATTTAACTCCAGCCACCATTTTTACAAACTCAAATTTAAAAATATAAACATTCGCGTTTGAGGTTAGATACGACTACCTCGCGCAACATCTGCTGGAACAACTGCACAAATGAAATGCTGCGATTTCAAAGTTATAGTGGCTAGAAACGCGCAGACGCCCCCATCAACTGATTGATAAATTTTACTCAAATTCAGACCAGAATAATTCAAAAGTCAAGGGGGCACTCAATCAAAGTGATGGAAATAGGGCACTATCTAGCATAAACCCAGTTTGGGTGTGCTAACTCGTTAACTGTTAATGCTTTTTGGTTTAACAAGTATCATCGTGCGCGTCGAGGCGTTTAATTGAATCCAACTGTAAAAATTATTTTCGACACATTTAATCAAAAACCATAGGATAATTTTTAAATTATCAGAAGAAAGTTACACGCGTAAATTTTTTATTACAATTACTACAATGAGAAAGTTCTTTTATTTTTATATTCCCATGGCTTTCAACAGTAAATGTAATTAAATTATTTGGCTTAAATGTAATGGATAAGGTTAATAAAGTGTGTGAATAAATTGGAACAAAAGAATAAACTAATTAGTAAGTTGTTTAGGCAACCAGTAAAACACAATAATACGAAAACATCAATTTATTTAATTGCACACTTCAGAAAACCATTTTTTACTGTGATAACAATTCGGGTTGGTACAATGTGGGCACCTATTTAAGAATTTCTCCCCAACCCCAACTTTATTTTGTAGGTGGTTATGCACAATACTGGTCAAGGCTTCAATAAATAAAGGATGATCATTTGGTGCTGGTACTCGTCTGATTTCTTCAACTCCAACCTAAGAAAAAACCTAAAGTTTTGTTACTTTCAGTAATACGACATACCTCCTCTGCTAACTCTTTACAATACTCTATGTCAAGTTCATGCAGAGTTTCAATATGTTCATTAACGAAAGCAATTGGGACAATAACAAAACTTTTCTTTCCCTTCTTTACATAATCCTTGATAGCCTCATCAGTGAAAGGGCCTAACCATGGCAGTGGCCCCACTTTTGATTGCCATACTAACTGATAAGGGTTACAATACCCCAGTTCATCCATCACCAACTGAACAGTGGCCCCCACCTCACTTGGATACGAATCGCCACGATTTACAGTCTAAATTAGCGTAAATTAATTGGTTCTCAAGTTACACAAACGAATCTTACCTTGAGAGGTAAGGAATGTGCCGAAAACAATATTATAACACCTTTTCGCTTCTCTTTATTAATTTGTGCAAGTTCTTTCCTAATTAAATCAGCAAAACATTTGACTAACAATGGATGTGTGGACCATCTGTCAATTACACTAAGTCTCAAACCATTTGGCAAATCTCTGTAATTTGATGAAAGAAATGTTGAGTTTTAATGTGGGAAAATACTCTTACTTGTTTTTAAAATGTGTGTAAATTGCGTTAAAACTTGATCCACTTGTGGCACAACTGTACTGCGGATATTGCGAAAAAATAACAGCATGTTCAACCTTATCTCTAAAACAAGACAATTAAAAAATCTCCCAATACGCAAATAACTTTACTTTGCCTTTCTAACTCTTCAAATGCATCTTTAGTGTATGGAGGCACGTATCTAAACGCCACGTAGTGCTTGTGAGGGGCTGAATTGGGCGACACATGATCCAACCTCTTACACAATAATTCCCCTTGTGTATTTGTCCATTTTAAAATAGGTGAGCCGCCCCCAATCTCTTGGTACTTTTTCTGCACTTCTGGTGTCCGTCGTTTAGCAATCCAAGGCCCCAAATAGCTAGAAAACAACCAAATAAGAACACTTAACATTTGTAATCATACTCTTGCGCAAAAGGCAGTTGAATCATGTCGCGATCTGTCATTATTTGGTTCAAGTAATCGTGGACTTGCTCGATTTTCTGGGGGCCACCCATGTTTAATAAAACAACTCCGGTTTTGGGTTTGTTTGAAACATTTCGGGAGTGACATAACCTCAACTCCTTGACAAAATTGTGCCCTGTTGACGAAAATGTTACTTTTTTTCAAATAAATCACCCCAACTTGCCTTTAAAAGAAACCTGGCGTAGAGACAGCATGATTTCGATGTGTTTCTGAAAGTTGTGATGATTTACAAAGTTTAATCGGAGCTGTCACAAAACTGTCACAAATAAACACAGTTTTAATTTATTTAAGAAATCAATGAAATATGATTAAACAAATCTTAAGGCTCGTGTTGTGTGTACAAACTGATAATTATTTTTTATCAGCAACAGTTTTGGAAGAAAGTCTGGCTATTCATTTTTTGAGTGTTTTTGTTGTGGTGATGGCTAAGTGAAGGACATGATCGGGTTAAAACGCGCCGATTTAAAAAGTAAAATAATTAAATAGGCGTTAAACTATCATATCTTGTAAAAAAAAAACTGAAGAATTGTTGTATTTTATATCAAAATACAGTTTTACATCGCAACTGTAGTTGTAGTTGTAGTTGTTGTAGTTAAAAAAACACTTTTAATCTAAAAAGGCTTTATGACGAATAAATTATCACATCTTGCAATAATCGTAATAAAACAGTTTAGTTTTATGCAAAAATAAATTTTAAACGTACTTTTTGTATTTTTATTTTAAAAAGGCAGTTTCTAATGGCACAAAACTTGTGTTTGGTATAATAGCAATCCCCCTTGTGCCATTGTGTTTTTTAAACGCTTTGTGTGATAACCAAGCTAGGAATAAGTGAAATTCTTTTTAACGAAAGTAAAAAGCAATGTCAGATGCAAGTGGGAGAAATTGAAAGAAAGAAGGGAGGATTACCGTCACTTTCTTCGGCTGGTCTTCAAAGTAAATTTGGGTCAAACGTTAACTTTCTGCTAAGTGTTGTGCATGGTGTGCTAGTGTTAACAGAGTAAATGCACTTCAGGATGCATTTATGGATTATATCTGTTGGTAGGTGTATTTTGATTTTTTTATGTATGGTAAATTAAATTTTTATATGAAAAGTGAGTATAAAAAGGCAAAAATAATTTTTGACCAGTGGTTCTGCTATACTTCCTACAGTACTCCCACGAGAAAATAAAGTATGCCATGACCACTTATTTTTGACTAGAAAAGAAGTTTGATGATTTAATGACACGAAATAATTGTTACAAACATGCAAAATAAGTCAAGGATTGGCTGTGTGCACGTGGTGGTGACGAAAAATATGACGAATAAAATAAATGAGTGAATGTATACTTTGCATCAAATTTAAGAAGTTGATACAAGACTTTCTCATTGTCTTAGTTAAAAATACTGCAAGATTAGTAAATGGGTCAATTCTGCACTAGTATCAATTAATATTTGAGCCAAATTGCATAACTAATCTTATATTAATGTCCCGTACCATCAGTATTACAGTGTCAAGGTAGCCCAAAGCAATGTTGATGTTTTCACTTTCACCAAACTCTCCTCTTGTAGCGCATCCGCTTTGACGTAATCGGAGTTCCCTGACTGGCGCAATGTACCCAACTTGACTTTGACCATAAAATTCTAATCATATTCTGACCATTTAAAGAAAGTCTAGTTGATTGTTATTTACTTTCTTTCACTTATTTAGCATATTTGAGCTAATTGTTTTGTATTGTTACAGGAAACATTTTCCTTGTCTGTTTTTTATTCCATTTCTCTCATGAATATAGTCCAAGAGAATATTATGTGCCTTGGCTAGACGAAGAGACAGATAGTCCAAGATGGATAAAATTGCCACAGAGGCGAAATGTTGAAAGCCAAAAACCGGAAAGTGGGGAAAATACTAGACATTTTGGTCCTGATACAATAAACAGAATAACTGAAACGTTGGGTGCGATAAACACAGTAGGGAGATATTTAGTGAATATGACTAGGGGAGCTACTGATAGTACTAAATTATCAGACGAAGTACCAAGTGCCATTTATACTATTAGTAAGAACGTGTTAGGTAGGAATGTGACTGATTCCATTGCTCCTCTAGTCAGAGAAGCATTACCTGTTGTCATTGACAATAAAAATGACGAAGAAGAAGAGGAAGACGAAGACCCTAAAAGTTGTACAACTCCGGAAGGACTAAAAGGGTAAATGATTCATTGATTACTGTGTCATGGAAATCTTCACATGGTCCATGACGCAGCTTGTAAAAAACAAGAGAAAGCAAAATTCCCAAAACTCTTACTCAAGAGATAAATTTTCCAGATATTGCGACGATCTAAGTGACTGTCCCCAATTATTACTAAACTTAGGAAACCTCCGACAATCTTTATGTTTTAAAAGTCTTTTCGTCCCGGGAGTTTGTTGTCCAAGGACTGGTAATATTGAATCGGTTACGTTAAAACCGATCCAAGTGACAACAATCCGGACACAGAAACTCAAACCTGTGACACTTCCTCCAACCAAACCTCCAACTACAAAACCACCACTAATTGAAATCCCCAATTTGAGTCTAAACCCACTTGGTAATATTGTGGACCCGTCAGGTAAGTCGCTCTAAATTTTGTGTTTAGTTTATAATTTTTATCCAGATTGTGGTCAACCCGAATCGGCAAAATACCGGGTAGTTGGGGGCGAGGAAGCCTTGCCAGGACGCTGGCCTTGGATGGCCGCAATTTTCCTCCACGGGTCTCGCCGTACCGAATTTTGGTGTGGGGGCTCTCTAATTACGGCAAAACATGTTTTAACTGCTGCTCATTGCACGAGAGATTCGCGCCAACGACCGTAAGAAATTCAAGCCGTGGCTCTTATCTTTAATTAAATCGAATTAGATTTGCAGCAAAACAATTCACCGTAAGATTGGGCGATATTGATTTGAAAAGAAACGATGAGCCCTCGAGTCCTATTACGTTTAAAGTATCAGAAATAAGAGCGCATCCTCAATTTAGTCGTGTTGGCTTTTATAATGATATTGCAGTATTGGTTTTGGATAAACCGGCAAGGAAATCGAAATATGTTATTCCACTTTGCTTGCCGCCTCCTGAATTACGAAATGAGAAATTCGCAGGGAGAAAAACCACGGTTGTTGGTTGGGGCACTACTTTTTACGGGGGAAAAGAAAGCACAGTACAGAGACAAGCCGTTTTGCCAATTTGGAGGAACGAAGATTGCAATCAAGCCTATTTTCAACCAATCACAGATAATTTTATCTGTGCTGGCTACTCGGAAGGCGGGACAGACGCTTGCCAGGTAAAATCGATGTCGATTATCTTGCCGCAACTTTCAATTGTTTAGATATTGGCGCCACCGTATTGTTTGTTGCATAACCTACCTCAATTTCAGGGAGATTCAGGTGGACCATTAATGATCCACTGGGACACTCGCTGGGTTCAAGTCGGAGTTGTCTCCTTCGGAAATAAGTGCGGGGAACCGGGATATCCTGGAGTCTACACTAGGATCACCAATTATCTCGAATGGATTAAGGAAAATACCAAGACATAGACGTTATGCTCAAAACTTTACTCTTAATATCTCGCTTAATTACAGCGCGTGATGTCAACAGTGACTAAGTTTAACAATTACTTAAAAACTACTTTGTAAGACTATTTATTTTAATTAAACTTTGTGATAATACATTTTTACACAGATGTTTGTTTTTCTTACCCACCTACAACAAATTAGTCCAAATAATTTAAAAATGTACAGAAAATAAAGTAGTTTTCAGTTCATGAAAGCTAAACAAAAAACAATAATAGCATAAACAATTCGTGTACGTACATTGTCGTAAGTATCTAAATGAAAAAACGCTTTTAGTTTTACCATAGATATAATATTATATATTTTCTTTATGGTTTTACTTAAAAGTCTTCCTGTAAAAAAAATTAAAACACTAAAGAAATTATTAAAACTCTGATAAAAATAAATAAGACTATTATTTTTTTCGTAAAACGTTGGAAAACGCATTTACATTAATGTACATACAGGGTCGCTAAATAGTATGGATACAGTTATATATTATAAAAACTATTTATCAAAACTTGAAATTTGGTACCTATATGCTTAAAAGTTTTTAAATTCTATCGTCTCAGATGTTTATCAAATTTCTACCTCTATCTGCTCTGGGAAAACAAGGCAAACGAGATTTTTTTAATGGCAAGAAGGGTCAAATTTAAAATGTTTAAGGAGTTCTGTGATGTAACACATCCATACCTTTTAATCAAAACTTAAAAAAAAAATTAGCGAACTAATAAAATTTCGAAAAACTTAGCCTAAGAAATGTTGTCTTTATCTATCGCTAGCTCTTTGCCGGCTGAATTTTGACTAAAAAATTTGTAAAAGTTAATACTAATTGTTAAAACAACATTTATTTTAACTGAAAAGAACACATTTTAATTAAAAAAAAGCTTAAACACAAAGTACATAATTTTTATGCTACAAAAATGTTCAAAATAATTTCCATTGACTTGAGAATTTCTATAAGCTTTCACATGCAAGTGACAGATCGCTAATAACAGCATTTTCAAAGCTAACTTAGTTTTACTTTTCCAGAATTAGGTACATTTTTAAATTTTTATTTTTTTTACCTTTTAATAAAAATAAAGGTGGGCATGTAAATTCAGAAAAAATGTTTTTTTTTAAATAATTAAATTTGATCCTTCGTGCCATTAAAAAAATCACGCTAGCCTTGTATTTTCAAAATAAATGATGGTAGAAAATTGAAAAAAAATCTCAGATGATAGAATTTCTTCTAAATTTCAACGTGCTCTACTAAATCGCTATGAAAATATTTAGCTGTATCCATACTTTTTAGTGACCCTGTATATGCATGTAAGTGTAAATTTTAAACTTTAAATTATGAAAATAATCTTAGAAAAATTTGTCTTTTATATTGTCAATTAAAAAAATGTTTGTTCAATTTATAAGAGCCTAAAACTTAAAAAAGGTTATGATTGTTATTTATTGTTTTTATTTCCTTAATTTTTTTATTAATTTCCTTAAACGGTATCACATTTAATTTTTTATTGCCATTAAAACTCTTGACGTCGACAAAAAATTTATTTTTGCTGAGTTACAAATTTTTACAAGATAAAAACATCTTTGACTTTGTCAATATTAGCAGACACAATAATTAATTTTAATTAAATATAATAAATACCAAGCGCGATATTTAATTAAAGGTATTAACATTATACAACTTAATTAATAATTTTAGATTGTTGTTACTATTCCGCAGATATGTTTAAAATTAATTAACTGGATTAGTTCAAAACAATTACCATTGCTGGAGTTAGTTTTGAAAACAAGAATATTGGAGAAAAGTGTTACCAAATAAAATAAATGAAGCGATGATTTATTTATAATTAAAGATTTTCACAAGTGAAACTGTTTCTTTTAGGTCAAATAGCTGTAAATTTACTGGCGCGCCGACTTGCAGAATGTCCCAGATTTGACAAACGGCAAATGTGTGTATTATAATTAAAGTAAAATGATATATTTTTATTTTGGGACTTTGATGGTTAGTGCACTGGTTTCGGCTGTGGCTGTATTTTGAAATTGATTGTTGGGTTAGAAAAAGTGGTAGAGTTGGTTAGGTTGTGCGAAAAGCTCGCGAGGGGGAGTAGATGGTGGGGGTATATGCAGTATAGGTATGCGGCAATTAGCGAAGTTTAAGTTGATTAGGTCATGCTAGTGATCATTGTTTGCTCATAAAGCTCCAGTGGCTGTTAGATGCGCCGTTCAGTGGCGCACCCCGGCGATCAGTAGCGCTGAGCTTTCGTTGCACGCGGCGGCGGTGGCAGCTTTGGGGGGCTGCGTGTTGGTGAGTTTCAGTCAGACGGAAGACGGAGTCTCGGCAGCAGTAGAGTGCTCAAGTTTGGTGCGCGCGCGGCGTTGAACACGCGGTTGATCCTGTCAACAGAAGAGCAAGTGGCGCGTGCTAGGACTTGATGCTGTTTATCAGCGATGTCATCTGACGTCAAGGAGGAAAAGACCGACGAGAAGACCGCTGACAGTGGCGTGATCAAGGAGTTTTGCGGTGGTAACAGGACTCTTTCTTGGCACGAGCACGTCTACAAGAAGCTCACCAATAAGCCCACGCCGCACCTCATTGAGAATATTCTCGGCATACAAAACGAAAAACCAGAAACCAAAAACAGAATGATCGTTTCCATTACTGCAACCATTGACAACCAGGAGGATTTTCCGAAGTTACAACCCGCCGGAACGGGCTGTGAAATTAATGAACCTTTAAATTTGTCAATTCGTAGTGACCTTAAAGTGCGAACTAAGACTGTTAAAGGTATGTCTGAAGTCAATTGACACGCGACACGGCACCCCCCTATTAACACATTGTACTGAAATTTTTATACTACAAACACATTAGTATTTCATTGCAAAATTAGACAATAAATTTAAGTACTCTTCAAGGTTTATTGGTTGTAACGTTGCTCCATAATTGTTATGCGATTCATCGTTGATTTTACGTTAATCGTTTCCACTGCTATAAATCATGACAACTTTTAAGGCAATTAACGATTAACCGTCCTGGATAAACGGTTTGCTGGTTTAATCAATAATTATTAAATTCGTCCCACCTGCTCTAGATACGCAAACCCTCAATTATCAAATCAGACCTTCTCAAATCGGCGATTAGTTAATAGTACAATTTGTTCGTGTCACGTGATAATTTAATAATAACTCAAACCTGACTCTCATTCTTTGTGGTAGTCAAGTGGAATGTGAGTGACAAGACATTACTTACATGGTCTTTAAAATTTTACAAATTTGTCGCTTGATGTATTTTGAAGGCGGATAAGCGTTTTATTTTTAGAGGGTGAAATGCCGTGGGTTGTTTTTGTACGTTTCGTCGAACCTAAATATGTTAATAAGTTGAAAATAATGTGGCTAAACGTTGGAGATCCGGCTCCATTAAATATAAAAACAAGGATTCGGAGTATTGTTATGAAAATTATTTAAATTTTTGTTTAAGCAGGAATACATCATCGTGTCTCTTTTCGCCGTTAAATATTTGACTTCCGGGGATTTTGTTCATTAAAATATTTACGAGATTTATCATTTCAATTTGGGGCTGTTAAATCTCTGACTTTTTTTTTTCATTTATTACTTTAAGTGAAGATGTATTAATTATTAACAGATATTAGTAGCGGGTTAAAAGCGTCTCATTTTTGGCGCGAACAGGAAAAGCAATATTTTGTTGTCAGTTTAATTTAGCACAGGAAAATAATTTATTTTCGAGGAACCGGCGAAAAACACTTGTTCCTTTGTTATTACAGAGATAATCAAATTAGAAATAGGAGTGTAGTAGATTCGATTGTCTTGTTTATTGACTGAAATCAGGAAGCACTTTTATAGTGTTTGGGTGTTTATATTGGAACTGCAGGGAAGAAAGTATCATTGAGTAAAACGCCGGCTTTTAAGAGAAAATTTGTATATATAGCACAGCTATAAATTTGTCGTCGACTCTTTAAGAAGAACCGCAAAGCTGTTAAATTTGTATCATGAACATAATCACTTCATTTCCATTAAACTGGGCTTAAAATAATTTCGTTTAAAAATTGTTCAATTTTTCAATAATTAAAATCGCGTCAAAGAGATTTATTAAAAATGTAGTCACCAGATTTTGTTGTAAACATGTGCTTTACATACGAACAAAAAATTCATTTTGTTTCCATAATGGATGTGAATAAATGTTTTTGTTTGTTGTATGACCACGTCAATCAAACCGAATTTATTTAAAATTGTAAAAGCGAAAATTATTTCAACCATTAAACGCCGCTGTCTGATAAAAGGTTCACGAATGAAACAATCATATTTGTTTAGGATTTATCCGTCCTGAGAGCTCTTTTTACAAAATTTTAATTTCACTTTGTCAGTTGGATGAAACGTTTTGATTTTCTTCGGGATAAAATATTATCCCACGTGCTTTTCCTGCCGCAAAAATTCAACCACGTCCTGTTTTCTCCGTCCCATCGTTTTTATCGCATCAAAACAAATACTCAACACTAATTTCATTCCCACAATTAACTCCCTAATCATTTACAAACAGTTTAGGTTTTTTTCGAAAAATTAATTAGTCATTGTGGCGACTAGTCGCTACAAACATGCGACAAACGTTTTAAATTAATTAACTAATAAACTTAATCAATAACTATGTTTTCCGAACTCAGTGCGTGTAGCTAAAACGATTCCCAAGTTTCAATTACCATTGATTATCAACGTTAATTTCATCATAACTACATTAACAAATTTTATTTTTCCGAACAATTTTTTTTTTCAATTAGATGTTTTGGATCGGCGTATAAAGATGGAAATTGGTACGTCTCAGAATTCGGAGAAATGCCGATATCGATAAAGGATGCTGCACGTGCAGGAGTAACTAAATAAAAGAAAAAAAACTAATTTTGATTGTTGTTGGTTGTGTTTATTCTTTGAATCGTTCGTCGGAATACATGTAAAAAATTGATTGATATCATATGAGTATTCCATCGATTGGGCAATTAAATTTGTCAACCGCCATAATGCTCATGAATGGTTAAATTTTCAGATCGATTAGTACAACATGAAACTTGATCATTTGGTACTGATAGGAATTGTAACAAGTTTATTCTTGTCGTAATTAAAAGTGAGCCAACCACATTATTAACTTATCAGTTGATAATTCCTGTTATTACCCGATGTGCGGTTAAATTCGTTGCTACATCCAAAATTTTTGAATTTTTGTATGGTTTTTAATGAGGGTTTGATTTCAGAGCCGACGCGAAAGAGAAAAAAGACTCGAGAACCGTTGGATTTGAAGTTATCACCGGCCCCCTTGCACCCGCCTCATCCGACTGAATCCATAGCGGAAGACGGTGATGCTAAAAGTAAGAAGAAAAAAGCTCGGACCACGTTCACAGGAAGACAGATTTTCGAGTTGGAAAAACAGTTCGAAATGAAGAAGTATCTGAGTAGTAGCGAGAGATCCGAAATGGCAAAGCTACTTAATGTTACAGAAACTCAGGTATGACTTTTATTCTCCTTTGTTGTGTGCTAGTTAAGTTTTATATTACGACGTTCTGATGAAAAATGACCATTCTTGAGGAGACGTTTCGGAATTTTCATTCATTTGCGGAGCCATCGAGATTTATAGCTTGATTCGTTTGAATTCAAAGGAAAACAAGTTGACAAAGTGGTATTTTTCCCTGTGACTAATTTATAATAATTCTGGCGGTTAATGCGACATTTCGGTGCATGTCTTGCGAAAGTTTTTCCCTATATATCATTCCTGCTAGAAGTTATCTTGATGGCAACTTTTCTCCGGGAAGATAATCATCTAAGGAGACGAGACAAAGAACAGTCGATACGTATTGGAAAAGAATCGAGATTGAGATAACGAGAGAAAAATTTCCGAGCCGAGAAAATCGTTTGGTTGCGAGCAATTACTAATGTTTATATTAAGAACCAAATAAAACATCTGTACACAGAATGGCACGGCACGTTTATTAATGATGAAGCTTTTTACTTAATAGCTCGAATCTCACAATCAGTGTAAATACGACGATAGGCGTTTAGAGCGTTGTGGGGGCGGCTGGGGGACGAGAGGAGTTATGATGAGTTACTGCGGCAGCTGTCTCCTACCAGCCTCATTTAGTCCCTCCAGTGGAGACTCGTGTTCCTACTAATTGCCTACAAACTTACACGACTCAAATATTAACTGAGAAGCGCGTTTTTGCTTTATTATGTTTTTAAATTTAAATAATCGTCATCTACCTTGGATCTTTCATCTCGATTAAATTGAATTATGTTTATATACCGCTCACAGCCCATTCATGCAAATCCTCCCTATCCTCCCTCCCTCCGAGTGAACTAATAATAGCCCGTTTTCACACCAACTTAACCCTTTTTTTAATACGCTGTCAGACCGGACTTTTTACGAATTACGCCCGTATTTTTGGATCCGACTCGGTAATAGCATTAATTAGGCGTCAATAACGAGTGTTTGCGTGGAAAAGGAGCTCATTACCATAATCTAAACAGAAACGGTTAGTACAAAGCGCTGTCGAGCACAATTACACTCGAAGCTTACGAACAAACGATAATAAAAACGCTTCCAGCTTCCTAATTTCTCCTCACTATTTTACCTACTTTTTTACGATCTGCCAGTGACGAAAACTTCTCAAATGAAACTTTCAGTCCTCATTACCAAAAGCCGACATTGTAGGCGTTCGAATCTTTGAAGAGAAATGTTATGTTAGTGTTATAATTAGGTGCTTTATGCATTAGCTATTAGCTTTGCTGCACTCCTCTCTTGACAGTTCCAGCTCTATAAATAAGATCATAGCAATGCCGTCACATATGTTTCAGCTAATTTCTGAAAACGCTTACTTTCGCTTCATTGGTCTGAAAGTTATACGTTTTCAGCGTCATAAATTACATTGTATGACTCTCTTTAATAAAATTCACTACGAAGGTAGTATTATTAGTTTTTGTGGTGTAGGGGGTTTAAACTGTTGGCAAGTTGGTGTTTGCTAGTGTCGGTCGAACATTCCTCAAGTGTTTCGTCTTTTTTCACGGCGAAAACCACGACTAACATATCTTGAGTAACTGAAATATTCAGTAAAATTCTTTCAAACTTGAAATATTTGTATTGGGAATTGATTGATTTCCGGATTGACAGTCAGTTGTGTTGTTTGAGGTGAATTTGAATTATTGGCGCTTTTTCGCGTTAATTAATTGATGATTAGCGTTCAGATAAACAAGCTAAGTAATTGACTGGCCAGGAACTATAAATAATTGATTTGTCAATAATCGCTTACAACTCAAAGAATTTAATAAATCGATGATTTAATCGTCGGAAGTGTTTACTTGATTATGTGTTTAAACGAAGAGAATCGATTAGTTAACAAAGAAGTTGAGAAACCGTTTCGAGGATAATGTTTTAATTATGTTTTTTTTTTAATATTTGCGGTGCGCTTAGGTGTTAACAAACTCCCAGATCTGTATTTTCCGAGTTTATTTAAGCCCATAATTATATTGCTTTTCGAATTATGTTGTGCAATATTTTATTGCATCGCCGTGAAATTTATTGGCTTCGTCCGAGTACAAAGTGATTAAAAACTCGTCGAATTGCTGTTTACAAAGTTCTGCAAACAATGTGTCAGTTAAGCCGGAGCTGCTTTTAAGAAAATATGTATTTGCCTCGTAAATTTAATCTGGATTCGATCTGAAGGAGTGTCGAGTTTAAATCAATTGAACAAGCTTTAAATGAAAAAAGGCCGATTCAGCGAGTCGTGCTTAATATCGGATTAAATAAATGAAAGCTTTCACAAACACAATCGCATTTAAATATATGGACTGCTGCAATTAAGTATCAATTCACTATGTAAATAATTTATGGCCAATTTGCCGAAAATCCGCGTAATAATTGTACGCAAATGCCTCCACAAAACATCACTAATAATATTTATAAAGCAAAGAAAAATCAATTTTTATTCGTTAGTCTTTTGTGGCTTACAAAAGGTCGATTAGATTGCTCATTAAAGCTCGTTTATATCGAAATTGAATTTTTCCGTTTTGAATTATTTGCGTTTAATAACTTCGCCTGGGCCGATCACATGCTAATTTAAAAACAATATTCATACTTTTCCAATCACCAACTTTCCGAATTAATCACTATGTTGACAGATCTACTAAATTACTTCCATATTCTGAAACTGTCAGAAAACTTATTCGAGACTGATGCAATTGTTTAACACGCGACTTTCGACGCGTCGAACACATAAAAGCTCAAAACGAGACAAATAAAACAACTTTTTCCTTTACTGCTTGCGATAACATTGATTGTTTGTCCAGGAACATGCTTTATGACAACTTGGCATTCTTACCAACTAATAGACGACTTTAGGCAAGCGTTTCCCAGTCACTGATTCATATCAATGCCTCAATTTCTAAAAATAATTGTCGGTCTTCACCAGTATCATCTTCAAATACTCAAGAAGCAGATGCAAACACCTGGACTTGAGAAAAATGGGGGAAGTTGCAGTGTGAAAATGCTGTCTTATATAGAATTTTAATTAATTTATTATTATACCGAAGTCTGTGATTTTATTTTATTGCCAGTTGTTATGGAAATAATGTATAGTAAAGTGAAATATAAGCAAGGCGAAGAACAATGTGTTTAGTAATATTTTGTAGGCAATAGAAAGGCGATGTGACGAATGAGAAATAAGTTTTGGGAAACAACTACGAGACGAACTGTTGTAAGAAGTTTTTTGAACAATAAAATTAGTTAAAACAATAAGATTAGTTAAAAGTTGTGTTTTAAAGGGTCGTTTATTTGTTACTGCGCTTCTAAGGGTAAAATAAACTTTCGAATATCATAATGAAATTATTTGTGATGTTGTATCGATTGTGCACAACGAAATGAACAGTTAATTTGCGTATACCATGTTGCGGGAATAATTATATCACTTTGTCAATTTGAACGAGCCAAACTTCTCTATCAACATCATATAGTTACGAAACCAGATATTAAAGAGGTCTGTTCAAATATTCACTTATTTGTTGATTTGTAAAATTTTGTCTAATAAATACAAATGATCTTTGATAGAATAATCGCTTATAATCGGCTCTATTAGGGTAATTTAAATTTGGGCGTTTATTACTACTATAAGGGCCCCTTCAGCACACAGCACTTTTTAAGGTAAAACACCCCAATTTTCAAGGGTAAATAAAAACCAGTGGGGCACTTCAGCACACAGCACTTTTTAAGGAAAAACACCCTGATTTTCAAGGGTCAACAGAAAAGCGCAGCCCCTTCAGCACACAGCTACTTTTTAAGGAAAAACACCCTGATTTTCAAGGGTAAATAGAAAAGCAGAAAAAATTGTGAAAATGTCTCGATTTTCAAGGTTAACAGAAAAGCAGAWAAAATCGTGAAAACACCCCCGTTTTTAAAGCATATTAAAAAGCCTTTGGTCCATGGARCCATTCARCACAACAGTTAAAATATTAAGAATTCACCCTGATCTTAAAGGTATATAAAAATTCAAATTTTATAATACTGTTTTTTATTTGAAGACTAAATTGTCAGCCAACGTACTTATTAAACAAATTCTTAGATATTATGTTATACAAACTCTTATATTTACCYACACATAGTTAAAAAAAGTTAGCATTCCTTTAGGGGACATTGTCTGCTTTTCCAAAAATTTGGCTGATGGCTGCATTCCAAGTTCTTCCAGATAAACAGCCATCCTACCTGACCAGTTTGTAAATTTTCATAAAATTCATAGTCTACGATTTCGGCGTTGAATGGTTTGCGTTTGTTTATTTGTGTACGGAGTTGACGAGCCTGTGCTCCTYTTAAAAMTTGGGTTTCTGGATTTCTCGCCGTATACAAAATGYACCATAGACATGGKTTTTTTTTCCTCTTGGTCTGCCGACTCCAGATGCTAATTGGTTGAAACGCACACTCTTGTGGGGTCAAGTCTACAAATAATTGTAATATGGCTTGTGGATTKTCACATTCCCGAGCGCAGGACAAAAAACCATCTATAAATTAACTGTAAATATAAAATATGTATAGCAAATAACATGGATACTTACAATTCTCATTCGCCATTCCAACGAAATTATAATAGAAGAAAGGGTCGACCAGAGAAAGGATTGATTGTTGGAAAACGTTTCTTTGAAGTTAGAATAGGTCTTTCTTTTAATCGACACACAGCTGACAAATGACAGCCCAGTTTAACATTTGACATTGACAGTAATGCAATGCACAATGCGTTGAAGAACATGCGTACATACAAGTTGACAAAAATTCTTTTAATCATGTTGTTGAGTAGCTAATATAATAATTATACTATACTGTAAGATTACCATAATAATATACAATAACAACAATACAATATAAAAATAAAATGTATGTAACCTAAAATGTATTGGTATTGAAATCATTTTCTATATAGCAATCTTTTAACTTATAATCAATTTGTAACATATTTTCATTTATATCGTTTA